GAAAGCATCTACATCTTCTTCGATCTCATCAAAATTTATGGGAGGCAATTCTGCCTCTGCTACCCCTTGATCCCCCTCTTGTTTCTAAAAAAGAAGAAATAGAAAATTTTTCTTTTAAGGCTAATTTTCTTGAGACTATTTCTTTTATTCTTCTCTAGAAAATCTTATCGAACTAAGAAAGAGGCCCTTGAAATATTTACTCACTTTCAAGTAGAACTGTCGAGCCATCCAGGCCAAAAACACCAGGATCGAGATGACCCCAGATCCTCCACAAGCCACAATCAAAAACTTCATGGCTGTCTCGCCACTGATGCTCGCCTCCAGTTGTCCATCTTTGACCCGAATGGTCACTTCAGGAACCACAGTAGGCATAGCTGCAAGGATCTCCTTATCCTTGGCAGCTGCGGAATGACGAATCACAGCCTCTGTCGTGATTGTCGTCACTTGAGACACCCTTGACACGGATGTCATTGTTGAACTTGTGGCTATGAAAGAAAAGAAACGAGAAAGAAAAATTTCATCATTTACTTTTTCTTTAAACTAATTTTTTGGCTGGCCTGTGGAAGAGAAAAATAACAACAAAAATTGCTGAAAGAACTTACTTGGTGGAGTTGAGCTCCTGACGCTGTCCAGACAAAATTCCCAAGGAGTAACAACGTTGTCTAACCCCTCTCGACGCCCAAAGCACATCACCGGTTGCAGCAGCTGCACCATCTGAGGAGGTCACGGACACAAGTGAAAACAACGAACAACTTTTTCACCTGTGAGCAGCAACCTCACCTTCAACCGCCGCAGACGAACACAATCCAAGAACAAGTCCTTGCCATTAAAAATGACGCAACGACCATAGTCCAACGCCATGATGACGTCGTCTCCGCACATATCGTCGCAGACAACGCCATCTCCCTCAAGGACACAGGTACTCCAAGTACCCATCACCACAAGGGAAAGCAGAAGGATCACCTGGAACGACTAATAAACAGACAAATAATCAGTTGAACATTTCAACTCATTGTTTGTC